ATCTCATAATGTTTTAAGAAAGTTTACAAATTTGTGGTGGGCTGCATTCAAAGCCATCATAGGTCACAGGCAGCCTGTGGGCTGCAAGTTGGACAAGACTGATATAGACTATTGTAGGCCAACGTAAGGCTGTTAGCTTCTACTATGAATCAAATTATTCACGAAAGGTTTTTAAGCAAAAAAGTAATGTTATATTCTTCTGTATATTATTTTGGAATAATTCTGAATTTACAGAATATTTGCAAAGATAATAGAAAGTTCCCAAATACCCCTCACCCAGTTTCTTCTAATGTTAACATCTTATACTATCACGGTGCATTTATCAAAACTAAGAAACCAACACTGATACATTTCTATCAACTAAACCATAGACTTTATTTGGATTTCACCAGTTTTTCCACTAATAACCTCTTTCTGTTTCAGGATCCAATCTAGGATAACATATTGCATTTAGAATCTTACATGTAAATGTACAATTTTTGATTTATATTTTAAAAGTATCACTCTGGCTGACATATGAGAATAGACTGTAGGGAGGCAAGGACTGAAAAAAGCAGAGAATAGAACACAATTACTGTAATGCAAGCAAGAAATGATACAGGACAATAACAAAAAATCCGAGCAAGAGATGATCAGTATACTAATAGCAGAAATAGTAGAAAACTGTTGAATTCTAGATATTCTTCATAGAAAAAGCCAACAGGAATTGTTGGAATACAAGAGAAAGTAAGGAGTCAAGGATGACTGCAAAGATTTAACTGAGCAACTGCTGTATAAAGCTGCCATCAATTCAGATGAGAACGAATGGGAAAGGTTTGGGAGGAAAGGAGTTCAGTCTGGGACATTTGAGTTCAAGATATCTTTTAAATATGCAAATGAAGATGCAGAGGTAGAAAAAGAGGAATTGGGACTTGGAGCATAGAAAACTCTTCAGAAGATTTTTGTTGCAGAGAAGAGCAAACAAATGGGGTTGAAAATGGAGAAAGGTTAAGAGGTTTACAATTTGACATTCTAGGATACATATAGATAGTAAAATGGTTACTTTAGTGAAGGAGATTAACACCTACCATCCACCTTATTTTTTGTGTGTGACAAGGACAGCTGAAAATCTACTTATTTAACAAAAATCCCTAACACAATAAAATTGTATTAACTTTGGTCCTCACGTACATTTCAGTCTGAATTCAAAAGCCATGTGGGAAGAGAATGAGAACAAGTGGGGAGAAAAAAAGGACTAACTCTCGAACACGAAAAACCTCTACTGAGGTTAGGAAGGCTAGCTAAGGATGAGAGGAAAAAAGCAGAACAATTGTCTTTCAATATATGTGAATAACAGTGAATGAAAAAAGGTAGGTAATGTAAAAGGTAATGTAAATCAACCCTATCATTAACACTGGCAACAAAGTAAAAAGAGAAAATGGGGAGAAAGTGGTCTGGTGATATAAATGCAATACCAACTTAATACTAAAACCTTTTATAGCAGTCCTCTCCTTATCCAACGGTGTACACCCCAAGGCCCCAGGGGAGGGCTGAACCCAACTGCCTTCAATCTGAGCATGTTTCTTTTCACATCTTCTACCCACAAATTTAATTGCTTTATTATCTTAACTAAGTTTTTATCACGCACTATGGCTATAAGTTTGGCAGTCTGAGGTGTGACGGCAAAACTAGCATAAATTTCTTTTTGCTTATTCACAATTTTACAGATAGATTTGTTCTTACCATAGATCTTAGCAACATCAACATATGACATTTTTTTTCTTCCTTATTAAGTGGAGAACTTTCACTTTTTTGCTTAAAAGAGGCACTTTACAGCTACTCTTCGGCATAACCAAGTTGCCAGCATCGTTACCCTTGTGCTTTGAAGCAATAATTAAGTAAAATAAGTATTCCTAGAACACACGCACTGTGATACCACCTCCATCAATCTGATAACGAAGCAACTAAAAGGCAAGAAGCTTATACAGCAGGGATATGCTGAACAAAGAGATGATTCATGGCCTCAGGCTGAATGGAATGGGATAGAATAAGATTTCATCACAACTCACAAAGGCATGCCATTTAAAACGTATGAAATATTTCTGGAATTTTTTTTTTTTTTTAATTGAGATGGAGACTCGCTCTGTTGCCCACGCAGGACTGCAGTGGCACAATCTCGGCTCACTGCAGCCTCAACCTCCTGGGTTCAATTGATTATCCTGCCTCAGTCTCTTGAGTAGCTGGGACTACAGGTGTATGCCACCACACCTAGCTAAGTTTTGTATTTTAGTAGAGATTGGGTTTCACCATGTTGGCCAGGCTGGTCTCGAACTCCTGACCTCAAGTGATCCGCCCACCTCGGCCTCCCAAAGTGCTGGAATTACAGGCATGAGCCACCACACCCGGCTGGAATTTTCTACTTAATATTTTCAGGCTGTGGTTGATCATAGGTAACTGAAACTGTCAAAATCAAAACCTCAGATAAGGAGAGACTACTGTATTTAGTGCCTAATATATGCGATTCAACAGTTCCTCCATTATAATTCTTCCTCTCCAGAGACTTTTAATTTACCAAAGCCATGCACAATAATAGCCAACACTTTCTGAGTGCTTACTGTATGCAAAACACTTGTCTAGATGATTTACTTGTAATAACTCGTTTAATCCTCATAACACTGAGGACACTTTTGCACTGGCTCCACAGAAAAATATAAATATCCACTATTTTTACATATGATTCGAATATACCCAAGAAAACAAAGTTGGAAATATTCTTCCAGATGCAGGTGAGATAAAAATTTTTAAACAGGTCAGACGCGGTACAGTGGCTTACACCTGTAATCCCAGCACTTTGGGAGGCCAAGACAGGAGGATCACTTGAGCCCAGGAGTTAGAGACCAGCCTAGGTAACATAGTGAGCCCCATCTCTACAAAAAATAAAATAAAATTAGCCAAGTATGGTAGCATACACCCATGGTCCCGGCTACTGGGGATACTGAGGGAGGAGGATAGATCACTTCTGCCCAGGAGGTTGAGGCTGCGGTGAGCCATGATTGTGCCACTGCACTCCACCCTGGGCAACAGAGCAAGATCCTGTCTCAAAAATAAAATAAATAATAATTTTTGAACAAAGGAATAACACAGTCAGATTTTATTTCTAGTAAGGAAAGGATCCAAGATGGTTTTAAATGAGGATTCATTGCAAAGCTGCCAGAAAGACTTTTGAAATTGTGATATAATCTGAAAACCAAAAAGTAGCGGGTTTATGTAAGACGATGCAGCTAAACTACCACCTCCCAAAAAAACTCACGTCAGATTAACTTTGATGTTTTACATAAATGCAATAAACATTATACATATTTGTTAAGCCTCATTTATTGGCACATGTGTTTCTCTCCATGGATAACTTAAAAACTGGCAATGTCGTTCTTTACTATTTTGAAGCTCAGGTACATAAGAAGCCATGGCCTAAAGTTAATTAAAATATATAGACATAGCAAAACAATTGTGATCTCTAACAAGTTAAGCTTTCTGATGCTCTTCACAGGTAGCCTGAAGCAGAGCTTCATACAGAAGTATTACTCTTAAGTGTAACAAAGATCAAGACAATCTTCACATGAAAGCAAGGGCAGTTATGTCTACAGACACATTTACTACCCTAAAAGCCAAGCTCGATAAGTAGCACAACATAATTTCCACAGCTAAACCAAGTTTGTTTAATTTGAATGGCAAGACCTAAAAGGTATAATATAAAGGAATTACAAGACAGAACATTAAAAGACTTTTTTCTTCCTCAGGTGGAGAGTACTGTATTTTTTTTATACCTTTCTTTTTCCCCTCTCCCACAACGTTATTAAATTCCTTAAAAGAACAGACCATCTTTGTTCCTATGCTGCAATCTCAAGATCTATGAATAAAGCAGGCACCCAGTAAATACTTGCTAATTTGTGTAATTGACCAACTCTTGACAATTCAATATAACAGACTCAAATATCAAGTTAGTTAGAGTTTAAAACAAAACCTTTGTGTGCCCTAGTGAACGATGTAAACACGAACAGCAGAATCCCAAATCTTCTAATCATTTGTGTTGCCCTAAATACAAAACGGTCTCATAGGCCGAATACAGCTCATAAACCAACATCTCACGTGAGTTACCTTCTCTCTATCCACCTTCTAAGTCAATAAATAAAAAATTGAAAACATTCTGAAAAGAACCCTCTGCTGCCTGAGAAAAAATACACCACACATTTAGAGCCAAAAGGTTGCCTTAAGGGGGCAAAGAGTGAAAAATTCTCCTTTCTAATACTTTATCAGAATTCCAAGAACTACGCAAATTCAAACACGCCAAAGCTCCTGTTTCTCCATCGATAAAATGCAGAAAGAAAAACGTGCGTGCGTGTGTGTGTGTGTAACAGAACCTCACCTAATGGGATAATTAACATCAGAAAAAGCTAAATTCTACTACTGATTAAAAGTTGGCTTGTCATTTGTCTTGCCAGTTGATCTCTCTAGAGTACCTATCAATTGCTGCAGTCCGTAAAGGGCAGTTCCTTCCCATTGGTTACCACAGAAAGTTCTTTCCTGACCCCAAATTGCCTAGTACGTTTCAGTCACGATGCCTGGATGGAACCCACAGTTGACCAATATCTGGGGATTGAAAGGACAGGCCGGTGTTGGGGAAATGCTCACTACCCTCTGGATTCAACTGTCCTCCCAATCCCACAACCAACACAGAGCATTTCAAAAGTGCTTCGCATTCCCAAGAATCCCCCAGATGCAAATGGAGAAACTGAAAAGAAGGTGAACAGGTAGGTTCGCACCCTGAGGATGATGCCGGGAACCCTAGCATCCCCAAAAGCCCACAGGAGGAAGGCGCGGGAGCTCACAAATTGAGGGGGATTCTCACACTGTGGAGTTCTAGGGGTAAATAGCAGGGAACTTTTTTAAAAAGAAAGCAAAAGATAAAAACAGAAAATCATATTTTTGTTATTTAAAGAGGCAGCCCCACTTCCGGACCCTACCTCTCCGTGACTGTACTTCCGGTCTCCTCCGAAACGCCCGCTTTCACAGATCAAGTTCTTGCAACCAATGAGAGCATCAGCTACTTCCGCCGGTCTGCGGGGCGTGGTCTAAATCCCGCCTTTTCCGGTGGAGAGGAGCCTATCCTAGCGTCTTAATCGCCCGGCTCAGTAGGCGGTGCCGTGACAAGCCCAACCGGACGGCTGGAGAGGGCGAAAAGGGCAGACGGGGCGTGCAGTCTCTTCCGCCTGGGGCCCGGAAGGGTGATGTGGCTGCGGTATCGCCGGCCTCGCTATGGTAAGAATTGGGGCTGCCGGGTCGCGGTTCATCTTCGAGAAGGGATTGTGGGTCTAGACTAGGGCTGGAGGTTGTGCGGCAGCCCGGGGTGTGTGGGCCTTGGAGCCATGTGGTCCCTCCACGGTCAACCAGAGAGAATCAGGACGGACTGTCCAAGAAAGACTCCTGGGTCGCGGAGCCCGCCCCTCATGCAAAGTCCGCTTTCCTACTTTGTTTAGGAAAAAAAAAATGCGTTGGTGTGTTTTAACACGTTGGCTACGTAGATTATCTGGGGTCATTGAAGCTTTGAAGCGTTAGAGCTTCTCGAGTTTCCGCTTGTTTTCTTGCATCTCCTTATCTCACCCTAGGGGCTTTACTCTGGTGTTATTGTTTGATTTTGTGGGGAGGTTCCTTTGGCACCAAACTCCATACCTTCGTTTTCAGCTGTTTAGTCAATAGCCTCTCACGACCCTTCCACATTATTCTCTCAACTTTGAAAATGCTACTTTACAAGCTATAGGTTTTAATAGTTAAGAGTTCTCTGCAAAGGTGGATTGCTTTTCTAGGGGCTTAATATACTTATTGGAGTGGTGTCTGGCCTCAGGCCTTCCTCCTCTTTCACCTCCAAGTCCATTTGCCAAATGTTGTGTATATTTCTGGGCAAAGGATGCATGCCTGCGAATAGACCCAAAAACAACTATGACTCCAAAAAGCTTGAGTCTCATGGTGAAAAATTATGAGCCCACGTTCACGGAAGTTGCTACAGAATCCCATATAGCAATAATTCAGTTTCTTTGGACGAATTTACCACCTGAAGGGAAGATGGCAGTTGAGACTAGCAAGACTGTCACTCTTAATTCTTTTACATCTTTCTAAAAACTGAAGTTGAATTATTTTACTCGTAGTGCAAGTCAAAGATAACTCTTTTTATTATCTCACTATCAGACCAGCTAAAAACAAGATGCATATACTGTGCTGAAGATCATCAGTATATAAACTATCTTGTCATGCTTGTTTTTCCAAAAGTAGCATATACTTTCATTCATTATCAAGTCCTATGTACCAGGCTCTTTTCAAAAAATCAGTTTATAAGCATGGAAATATCAAGTTCCCCACAACTTCTCAGTAGATGTTTACAAGTGAAAGAAGTGAAACATGAGGAGATTGACTTGCCTTGGATCACACCTAGTAGATTGTAAAGCCAGGACTCAAACTTATTTTAATGTCCAGATGCCCGAAATCTTCATGTTGTTATCGATAGAAACACAACATAACTGAGGATGAAATAAGTCTTAGTAATTTGTTCCTTATAAATATAAATATATAAATCAGACATAGGTGGAAAACAGAAACAACTGGCAGGTGGTTTTTTATTGCTGTGAGATGTCAAAAGTACATTGTTGGCAGAGCTACGAAGTGAGGTTTCAAGGAGGCTAACTTAGCGGTTTGAGAAATGGATTAGTGTCTCAGTATCTTTGAGTTTGCACCTAAACTTAGTTTATTTGTGAGGTAACCCAATGCTAATGACTTAATAAACCTGAATTACTGTATTTTAATGAATCTTTTTTTTTTTTTTTTTTTTTTTTTTTTTTGGTCGTCATGGAGTCTTGCTCTGTCGCCCAGGCTGGAGTGGGCAGTGGCGTAATTTCGGCTCACTGCAACCTCTGCCTCCGGGATTCAAGCGATTCTCCTGCCTCAGCCTCCTGAGTAGCTGGGACTACAGGCGCGCACAACCACGCCCGGCTAATTTTTGTATTTTTAGTAGAGACGAGGTTTCACCATGTTAGCCAAGATGGTCTCGATCTCTTGACCTCGTGATCCGCCAGCCTCAGCCTCCCAGGTGTTGATATTTATTTGGAAGTTTAGTGATGCTTTTGTGACCAGAAATATGCCATCGGATTACAGGCATGAGCCACCGCCACGGCCAAGAATCTTTTTAAAAATCATTTCAAGGACAAAATGTTTATCAGCAGTAATAATTTACATCTGTCAGGATGAACAGTAATTGTAGCACTTGTGAATTAATACTTTTAAAAAATTTCAGAATGCCTTGTTTCCCCCAATGCCTAACATCCTTCAGTATTTCTCTCATGTCTCATCTCTTTCCAAAAAGCCTCCCTTAACCCTTTCTATTTTCTTCTACTCCCTTTAGGTATCTATAGGGATATTCATGTATACTTCCAGTATCCCTCTAGCATAACCCTTTTCACAGAAAACAGCAATAAGGTGTTGCCTACATTTCTCCCTCTGTAGGCAGAATTCTTAAAGACTAGGTATTTTAATCTCTACAGTCATAATGCCAGCTAGAGTTAGTGCCATTAAGAGTCTGGACCTGTAATCCCAGCACTTTGGGAGACCGAGGTGAGTGGATCACCTGAGGTCGGGAGTTGGAGACCAGCCTGACCAATGTGGAGAAACCCCATCTCTACTGAAAATAAAAAATTAGCCAGGCGTGGTGGCGCATGCCTGTAATCCCAGCTACTTGGGAGGCTGAGGCAGGAGAATCGCTTGAACCCAGAAGGCGGAGGTTGCAGTGAGTCGAGATTGCGCCATTGCACTCCAGCCTGGGCAACAAGAGCGAAACTCCATCTCAAAAAAAAAAGTCTGGGGATACAGACATGCTCGGTGTCTTCAGGGATTTCACAGTCCAGTAGAGGGAGATGATTAAATAAGTGAATTCCATCTGTTGTCTGTTATGATGTAGCATGACAACACGTGTAGTGGAAAGAGCATGGGTTTAGAATGAGCCAAACAGAGTTAGAATCATGCCCAGTTCCCATCCTTTACTTGGTTAACTGTAAGAGAGTTTATTTTCATGTCTTTTTCTTAGTGTGCTAAGTGATTTTCACAAACTCCGCAAAGTAGGAATGATTGCCCACATTTCATAATTAAACTGAGTCTCCAGAGAATAGATGTGAAGTATTTTCTCTCTTCTTGTAGCGGAAGATATGTAGAAAATCATTAAACACAGTGGAAGGAGTAGTACTGGCTGGGAACTGCTTGAGAGATGTCCCCAAGAAAGAAAATAATTCTCTCTCACCTGTATGTTAAAGAGTATTAGGGTCATTAGCTAGAGGTGGGACAGCGATCTCTATCCCATAGATAAAGGAAATGGCAGTTATGGGAACAAAAGGCATGAAGTTCAACAGTTGCATGGAGCCTCAATGTGGCAGGAATTTTAAAAAAAAAAAAAAAGTTAAGTATAGATTAGGCTAGAAAGATTAGGGCCAGATTTTGAAGAGCTTTGTGCCATGCCGAAGACTTTATATTTTGATGATGTTTAATTGCTTACTTTATAAAGGCTTTGGAGCAGGGAAATAAAATTGGTGTGCATTTTAGAAAACCAACTGGTAACAACATGGAGAGAGCATATTTAAATGGAGGAAGATTAGAATCTGGGAGACCAGCTTGAAAACAAGAGCTGTAGTTCAGGTATACGATGATGGAATGTCTCAACTCTGATGAGCCGTTGGGTTGAAAGGAAAGGAAAACTAGGAAAATCATTTTGAAGGTACTTAGTGAAGGGTGATGAAGCACAGCTCCAGCTTGGATGATTTATTGGATGGGAAAGAAATACAGCAGATCCTCAATAACGTTTATGAGGAAGAAACTCCATTCCCAATTGAGGCCACTGTGTGGAGTTTGCATGTTGTCTTCATGTCTGTTCTTCCCATGTCTGCATGGATTTTCTCTGGGTACTCCAGTTCCTTCCCACATCCCAGAGATGTATAGATTAGGTTTGTTGAGGTGTCTACACTCTCCTAGTTTGAGTGCTCTGCACTGGAATGATGTCCTATACTCAAAGCTACTCAGATGGCTCCCGGCACCTTTAACACTGTACTGAAATAAGCCAGCTATCTTACTTGTTTTTATTAATCTTTCTTAAGTGAATGTATAACTCATATTTATTTCAGTGTTTAATATTAGAAGGGTTTTGATATTTATTTGGAAGTTTGGTGATGCTTTTGTGACCAGAAATATGCCATCGGAACTTAACTCGTGTTTGTATCAATTTGCCTATGGTAAAATTGGTTTTGTTACACATCTTTTGGCTTAAAGTTGCATTTTCCAAGGACCTGTGGATGACGTTAAGTGAGGACTTACTGTGTTGGTTAAGCACCTACTCTGACAGGTGTTTTTTATACAAGGTTTTATTAAAGACGTATTATTGGCCATATTTTTCATATGAAGAAACAGATGCAGAGAGCTAAGTGTCTTTGCCCATGATCACACTGCTTATAAATAGCAGAGCTAAGATTTAAACTGAACCGATTCGTCACAAAATGCTGTGCCCTTTCTATGCAACAGTATCATTAATTGCACAAAAATATTAAGAAAAGCAACATTTTTATGTCATGGGTGGGTGAGGAGGTAGCAGTTTAGATAATAATTCTGTTGCTAGTATTGCTTTTGCATCATCCATGAAAATGGCATCACAGTTGAAAGGCAAGTATCTTAGTATTATAAAAACAGTTCTGATCTTACGAACCCATGAAAGGGTTCCATGAACTACACTTTTGATAACCACTGCATTAGGCTAATAGGAATCTGATGTGGGTGCTGGTCTTCTCTAGCAAAGTTTTTGAATACCAATTGCAAATAAAAGCTTCCAGATGGCTGAGGCAGGCATTCAAGACTAGGCTGACCAACATGGTGAAACCCCATCTCTACTAAAAATACAAAAAAATTAGCCAGGCATGGTGGCGTGCACCTGTAATCCCAGCTACTCAGGGGGCTGAGGCAGGATAATTGCTTGAACCCGAGAGGTAGAGGTTGCAATGAGCCAAGATCACGCCACCACACTCCATCTGGGTGAGAGACCGAGACTCCGTCTCAAAACTTCCAGGGAGTTTCAAGAAACTATAGATACCCAGACCAGTTAAATCCAAATTTCTGGGCAATGATGGCTTTTTAAGCTCCAAGTGGTTCTAAT